CCTGAAACACAGAAAAATAAGAACTTAATTGCATCTTAGATAGGAAAATTTTGCAAAGTAAATAGCTAAATATTCAGCTTAGGCTTTGAAGGTTAAGTAGAGGTGTTCCAGCAGAGGAATCAGGGAAGGACATCTCAAGAGGAGATAACACAACTTACAAAGGCACAAAATTGTGAATGGATATATTTTAAATGGTTTTTGAAAACTCTTCAACTTCTGCACAGGATTAATTATTTCTGTTTCATTTTCTTGTCTATTTTATATATTTCTGTTAATATTCATTATATTTTATCTTAATCAGGTTTATATCTGACTCCCATGCTTAGCTATAAGTTTCTTAGGAATATGACTTGCAGCCCTGGCTGGTGTGGCTCAGTGGACTGAGGGCTGTCCTGTGAACCAAAGAGTCACTGGTTCAATTCCCAGTCAAGGCACATAACTGGGTTGTGGGCTGGACCCCTAGTTGGGGGCAGGCAAGAGGCAACCATACATGGATGTTTCTCTTGCTCCCTTCACCTGTCTCTAGAAATAAACTTTTTTAAAAAGAATGACTTGTAGATATTTGTTAATCCAGTGCCTAGCACAGTAATTATTCAATAAATGTGTGTTTATTAAAAAAAACAAGACAATGAATGTATGAAAACATGAAGAGGTAGCTTTAGGGAGTGGTCAGGATAGTTTAGCTAGAGAGAGGAGTATTGCATGTGTTGCTGGGTTCACATATAGCTTTGAAAGACTAAAGAACCAGGTGGGTCAGACTGTGGATTCCATGGATACTACACTAAGTTATTAAGTTATTTTAATTTAACCTATGAGCAACAATTATTAAATATTCTAAAAGAGTGGACTGGTATTGTAGGGTTTGCATTCTGTATGGATACTACTTTAAGGTGTAAATTAATTATGGCCACTGGACACTGTCAGTCCACTGCAGCAGTCATCTTCAGAGTATCTTCATGTCCCAAGAGCTCCCTATGTCTTCTGTCTGGGAGTCCTTTCTGGCCAAGAAAATGTTTCGGTCACCATATATGGAGCTGACCAGGAACGCCTGATAATTAATAGTCCCCAAAACATCCACCTACCAGGGTGGGACAGAAGTTGGCATAAAAATACCCCAGCTTTCTTTACACTCCAGTGCAACAACCTAGAGGTTTATGTACACCATTTTTCAGAGGATTTCAGGTATGACTGAGTCCCAGTTCTCCACAGTGGTAAGCCACTCCTTCACACTTGCTTAATTGGTGTCCTATCCTGTCCCACTTTCCTGTTCCCTTATCATGGTTCCCCAGATCATCCTCCAATAAACTGTTTACAGTGAAACCCTTGTCTCAGTGTCTACCATTGGGCAAATCCAAACTAAATTAAATTTTCTCTTTTCTCTTTCCTCTAGTAGAAGGAACTCTTGAGGAAAGGCCAGTGATGATATCTTTGTGTGACATCTATGCACACTGATAGGTATGAGGAACCCAACAATATAATGGGGCTTTACAAGGAGTTCTTATACTCTGCAAATCATATTTATTAATGAATAAAAACAACAAGAGAAAATAAGTGTTTATTTACACAATGGAATGCTACACTTTGGTAATAATGAATTAATTTCAGACATATACAATGACATAACTGTCAAAAAGTAACATTTAAGTTAAAAAAAAGCAAATTTCACTATAACTCAATTCATATAAAGTTCAAAAACTTCCAATGTAGTATTTAAGGACACAAATATAATGGAGAAAACTTAGAGAAAAACATGAAAATAATAAGACAAAATTCAGGGGAGTGATGCTTTTTAGAGAGAGTGAAAGGTTTGCAGTCATCCAAGGGGTCCAGAGAAACCCAAGGCATTTACACTGTGCTACTCCTACACTGGGGGAGTTGGGTGGATGGGGACCCAAGCATTCACTGTGTCCATGTTCTCTCTACCTACCATAACTTTATTAATCTTACTTTCTAATTGTGTGTTACTTAATAAAAACATTTTTTAAAATGCAACAAGCTAGACAATGAAAGATGGCTTTCTGATGTCATCTAGAATATTACCAATGCAAGGATGAAAACAATATTTTTATAAAATGAAATATAAAATAAAGGAATGATAAATAATAGACTATTTCTCACCAATCTTTTATTGTAATATCACAGGCATTAATTTCTTCAACAAAAAATGCAAACCAAGTGACTAAAACATTAATTCTGACTATTTCTTTATCTCAATTAATTTGATTGGGAACAAATCAGGAGGGTGCCAGGGAGAGCATGGAATGAACAGAATAGGTGGCTTCTGTGAACATTCCTTAGAAAACATCTATCCACACCCCTGCAGTACAGGTGAGCAGCTGTTAGCTTGGCAACACTCTCAGGTTTCTAAGTCAGCTGCCCTCACCCTAGGGTCTCTCTCTAGGGAATGTAGGTAAAACACAACACAGGGGTGAACTTCGGCACAGCCACTGGCTATGTAACAAATATAGGGGAGGGAAGAAAGAAACTGATGACAGATGACAGTGGCATATTGCAGGATGTGCTGAAGAGAGCAGAGAACCCTTTTAAAGAAATTGGGATCTGCCTTGGGTCAGATATTAGGTACCCCTCTAGACCACATTTGAATCCAGGGCCTCAGGAAATGCCAGTGCTGCAGTTCACTCTGTTCAGAACACAGTTGAATCTCTACTTCATTATTTGTGTTCTCTCCCACACACCCCACCCCAGCTCTGAGCCTTGAGCTGCTGTCTGAGTTTCAACCCTGTAGATTAAATATCCTGGTTTGGGGTTACTCCCACTGAAGTTCTGTTTTAAAAATTCTTCTAATGCTGTCCCTTTACACCGAGTACACAAAAAGTTCTCATTCCAACATCAAACCCAAATGAAGCCTCCAAACACTATGCTCCAACTGACATTCTGGGCTCCTGCTTAGGTAGAAAGAGCTCAGACACTCCTACAGACAGGAGAGCTTCCTGCATCTTTCAGAAACCCTACAACAAGCTGAGAAGTCCATTTGTTTAAGGAGATAGAGACAGAGTCCTTCTGTGTAAGGCATTTCCCCAGTTCAGATCAAAACTCCAAGCTGAAAGGAAGAACTATGAAAACTCAAATTAATTCATTTTATTAAATATTTTATTATTGTTCTATTACAGTCATCCCAACTATTCCCCCAATGCTCTCCTCCACCCAGCCTAACATATGCCCCGTTTTTTTTTTCCTAAGAACATTTCCTTCCAGATGACAAATAGTTGAGATGCCTACCCAAGGCATTATGTCTCATCCCCATCAGCCCAAAACCAAAAGTTTGAGAAGTACATCACTTTTCCCTGTAAAACATTTCTCCCTGTAAAAGCCATTCTTCATGGGGAATGGAGAGGAAACAGACAAAAAACCCTTCAACCCTCAACACCTCTTTTCTGAGGTCCCTCAACAGCCCCAGAAAAATGTACTCTACGTTTTCTGCTGCATTTCATACCTTTATCATGGGATGTTAGTTATATATCTGTTTATTTTCTAAGCAGACTATGACTCATTCTGCTGCTCATGTCTTCTTCAACTTTTCATTACTCCTCCCCACCCCCAGCACAAAGTTATTTATCAAATGACATCTGTGTGAGTGAAAAAGGAAGAGAATTGGATCACATCGTTCATTCTTACATATTGTTCTGTTCTGACCATCTGAGCAGCTACTACCAGGACATGGGGGAGTGGGAAGGGATTCTCAAGTGGACTTGGAGAAGCTTCAGCAAGGATTTGAAATAATGTCAGGTATATTTCCACATTCTTCTGTAAGCTCCTGTTTCCTGGGAAATGAGAAGAATCAGCATGGAGAGGGCTTCTAGGCTTTAAGGGAAGTGACATGAGAGTGTGTCCCCACTGCAGGTGCATGTGCTGGCTCAGCTGAGTGGCTGGAGGTAGACATGCAATACTGGCTTGGTCTGGCAGGTTCCTTGGTTGCTCTCTGATTCTGGGAAGCACAAACTGGTCTCCACCTCTGACTCTTGCTTTTCCGTCATCCTCAGTTTCCTTCCCACCCTAATTCACTGTTCGAATAAACTTCATAGTGACTATATGTTCCAAGAGCAATAGGATTCTCACTGCATTCAGTCATATAAAGCTCACTGCAATGAAATAGCTCATTATTTTCTCCTTAGCTTATTTCAGAAAAAAAAAACATGAAATGGGAAACAATATCAAACACATAAAATGAAATAGAGAAACTATAGACACAAAACAGTGACAGCTTGAACCCAGAAACATCCTCTGACTATGCTGATAGATGGAAAGCCACATCCAGATTTTGTCACGAGGTGTCAGACCACAGTACTTAAATTTGCCAGCTCCCGTTTCCATATTCTCACTCACCTACTGTACTGCTACAGCTAGAACCTGCTTCCAGGTCAATGCCCAACAGATAGGGTTTGTGAGTGACAACAGTACACTAGTATCTTTGCTTCATTTGTAAGAAACCTGCCTCCAATCCCTGCTACAAGTCCTTCTCTTCACACAACTTCATTTTTAGGGTGCTACTGAAAGCCATTGGGAGGCATCTCTACCATGTTCCAACAACCTCTGAACCAATGCAACAATAGTTTATTCAATTCGGGCATTTGATGAGACAATCAATGCAGGCAAGATTAAGAAGTGTCACAGTGAGGGGAAAAAACAAAGGAGAAGGAGGTGTAGGTGGGTGAAGAAAATGAAGATCAAGAAGTAGAAGATGCAATTCTTCCTGCCTAGTGTGGCAAATCCCTTTCTTCCCTCATCAGAAAAATGATGCCTGTGCCAGAGAGCACAGGTCCCAGCATCAGGAAATCAGTCCTAGGGTCTTCATTCTGCCATTACTCCTTATGCATCCTTTGACAAGTCACTTTACCTCTTTGAATCTTAGTCCCTACATTGTGAAATGGAGACAATCATAATAACACCTGCACTCTCAAATTGAAAAGTATTTGTGAGAACCACATAAAATATTTTATGAGCTACAAAGTACAATTAAAGTGTAAGCCACTGTTCACTCTCTATGACTGCTCAGGAAGACAGCCCAGTTGATGTAGGACTTTCCTCAGAGAGGATATTACCTCCTTATTCCTGAGGCTGTAGATCAAGGGATTCAGCATAGGGGTGACCAAGTTATTCAGGACCTGAACAGTTGCATCCAGCCATGGGCTTGGGGTTGGCCTCAAGTAGATGAGCACCACTGGCATGTAGAACAGTAGGATGGCAGTGAGGTGGGCACTGCAGGTGGAGAAGGCACGACGTTGACCCTCTGCAGAGCGGATCTGCAAGATGGAGTAGACAATGCGACTGTAGGAGGAGCAGATGAGAAGAAAGCAGCTGAGGGATATGAGGCCCACACTGATAAACCCCACCATCTCCAGGGCTGAGGTATCTGCACAAGCCAGCTTCAGCATCACGGGGATGTCACAGAATAAATAGTCCACCTCATTGGGGCCACAGTAGGGCAACTGAAAGGTGAGAGTGGTCAGAAAGGTGGCATGAATAGAGCCGAAAAACGAGGTACCCATTGCCAGGATGGCACACACTCTGTGGCTCATGATGACCTTGTAGCGTAGAGGATGGCATATGGCAACAAAGCGGTCATACGCCATCACTGTGTACAAGAAACACTCAGTGCAGCCCAGGAAATGGTAGAAGAAGAGCTGGGATGCACAACCTGCATAGGAGATGGCTCGGCTATGCCCTGAGAGGTAGAAGAGCATCTTGGGGGAACTCACAGAAGGGAAGAATATGTCACACACAGACAGTTTACACAAGAAGAAGTACATGGGAGTGTGAAGTTGGGTGGAGGAGACGATTGCCAGTAGAATGAGCACGTTTCCCACAAGGGTGAAGATGTAGAAGAACAAAAACAGGACAAAGAGCTCAGTCTCCAGGTCCTCTGTGTGAGGGATGCCCAGCAGGATAAACTCACTCACCACAGAGGCATTGCTCATGGCTTTGATGAGGTCAGACCTTGCAAAAAGACTCAAGACACCAAAGTCTGAACACCAGTATTGAAGTATCAAACTCTGCAGCTGAGGGTTTGGCTGTGTTTTTAACAAGCCACAACCAGCCCACTTATGAATGGCAACATCTGTATAAAAATATTGGTTACTAAGAAATGCTAATTTTGGAGCCACTGTCTATCCAAATCTTGGAAGAAATGTTTTTGGAGGTAGGTGGTCATCTTCAATGATAAGATCAGAAATTTAAAAGTATATTCAAAACATTCTTTTATTAAGTTCAAAAATTTCCACAGTTGTTTAGTTCCTGGATTTACCTTCTTTAGAGAACTTTATATTTTCAACTGTCACAATATCTTAGAGAAAAAAACACCTACTATGTATTACTCTGAAAAATATCAGAAAAAAATCAAATTAGACATCAGAACAGTTAATTTAAGTCATGGTTTTGTCACTTATTACCCATACTAGTTTATGTAATTTATGCAAAATTTTTCATAGACATAGTTCCATTACCTACAGAATGAAAAATATAACGATTACAACAACTGCAACTTCAACATCTAAAGACACCCTAGTACCACAGTAAAGTCTATGAAATGTCCAAAATTTGGCAAAATCATAAATCCCAATGAAAAGTGTTCCCTTCCTTTATGTATTTGAAATTTATCTCTATAAGTGCCTTTCTTTAATGTACCATGTAACTATCTACAAATAAATGTTTCATTAAACAACATTGTTGGGTAGACTTAGATCATACCCTTTTCAAACTCCATCCTTCTGGACCTGTGAGGCCTCATATCCCCAAATCCCTCAGGAGCTGCTGCTCTGGTTCTTCTGCTCTTTTCAACCTTTTCTAAGTGGACTTGAGGACACTCAGAAATGTGAAGCAAAAACAAAAACATATAGCAGCAAGGAAAACAACAAACACATGTTACTGTGATGAAGAAAGGAATATAGTGACCCATATAGCAGAAAGGCAAAGAACAGCTCTGATGAGGAAGGTTAAACAAGCCAAGAGCAGGACATAGTGTCAGAACAACAGAGACCTCCTTCTCTGATAATGCAGGATAATTCTAACACTAACACTAACAGTAATACTAATACCAAAAAGACAGAAGTTCATGCCTACATACGCATTCCACTTAATGAATATTTACTGTGTTCTGAGGAGTGGGCTTAACACTTAAAACTGTAATTAATTTTTCAAATAAGCCTACAAGAAGAAACTGTCATTACTATGTGCATCTACAGATCAAGAATCTGAAACTTGGAAAAAGTAAACAAGTAGCCCAAATTTACAAAGCAAGCATGTAACAGAGCTAATGCTCAAACCGTTTTTGCACCATTGCCCATAACCTTAGGCATGAAAAGAATTGTCCTATATGGCCTCTGCTTTTTGAGGAGACCCCTTTTCATTCTCAGGCACTGTCCTTTTCCAGATGAGTTCACATCATCATTTTATGCTGAGGTGGGAAAGCATTCTTGTTTTACCTCTTGCTGGTCACTTCCAGTCCTGACTTTAGACCACATCCAGTTAGCATCTAATTTAACTTAAAAGATCAGACAGCAGGCTTATGCCTTAACTTTGACACTATACCTTAATGGTGACTCCAGTATAGGAGCTTTGAAGTTATAGAGACCCATTCACCACGGGAATTCAAATCATTAACTGTGGCAAGTGCCACTTAAAAACATACCTAAAGAGAACGGCCACACCAAAATGGGTGACTCACATACCACCCTCGAACTGAACAAGAGTGGAGATGGCAAGGAGAGAAACAGTGACATTATGGGGGGAGAAATGCTGCTGACAACTTGCTTCTTGTGACTCATTTTAGCCAAACCTGAGTATCATCTCTGAGCCATGCACATTTCTGTGAGATCTGGATCACCTCTCCCTGGCTGGCAAACACCTAGGATCAGACACCATGATAATGTATGATTCCACAATCCTATTTTATTTTTAAGTCCGTTTTAGGGAAAGAAGCCCACAGGGACCAGAAATGACCGTGTGTGAGGCCTTTCACATGTGAGGAGAAGAGGCTTACAGTGAGACATGGGCAGCAGTTTCAACACTCACACAGTCCACTGAGAGCACAGTCAGGCTTTCTACGGGGCTATCATAGGACCCGACATTAGCTGCTTCTGAGCAGATCCCGAAGTGCTCCAACAAAGGCACCTCCGTTCTCCTCCTTATAAAGAATTCAGTCTCCTAGGGTTTGTTCAACAGAGACCTGGACACACTCACTCTCCCTGGATTGCTGCCTTGGAGGCTTTTTCAGGACCCCTTAAGCCCTACTTTGGATTTACTGATGGCTCTGAGGGAGCAATTAGTTGTTCAAACTAATTTATCATCTAGTTATAAAGCAAGAGCAAAGAGATCATCAGAAAGGGGTGCTGTAAGTGGGAAATATCTCTCCAAGATAGTTTGAATAGCAGAAAAAGCTCCAAATCTACCCTTTCATCACATGCATTGGTATGCCTTTTTTTGGTTCATTCGTTTTTGGGGTTTTTGTACATCTTCAAGCCTTCACTTGTGATTGCATGTATCTCATGCCTTTTGAAATTATCTATATATCCATATGACTCTATAGCTATCTCTAATGAATATCAATATTCAAGACAGAAACCTAATCATTTAGTAAGTATTCATTATGGTCAACTCTTATTATGTGCATCTTAAGTAATTTTTAAAGAGAAAGAGTCACATACTAGGCACATTCATAGGGTGAAGGGCGTGTAAATGATGTCAAATGAAAAATGTGGCAAAATAGTTGATAATCACTTAATTATTTACCGTGAGCCAGGGGTGTCAAACTCATTTTCGCAGGGAGCCACGTCAGTCTCATGGTTGCCTTCAAAGGGCTGAAATAATTTTACGACTATATAAATGTAACTGCTGCTTAACTGTTAAAGAGTTGAAATTACATTTGGCTTTCTGCGAGCAACCAGGAGGCTGATGTGGCTTTCAGTGAAAATAAGTTTGGCACCCCTGTTGTAAGCACTTACCATGTTCCAAGTATTTTGCTAAATTTTAAAGTTATGACATTTAATCTCCAAAATAAATTTTATAAAGTATGTGGTATTATTTCACAAAAAAGCTGAAAAACAGATTAGATAACTTGACGATGACATAACCTGAAAGTGACTAAACTGAGACACTTTAATTTCCAAACCAATGCTTTCAAGCTTTATCTTGTAAATTCCAGAGATTTGGTTTTGTATTCAAAAAGTAACAGAGATATATTATGGTCTTGAAGTGCCTGAAGGGCTGCTAGAAAGTTGATAAGCACTATTCTATGTGGTGCCTTAGGAACTATGGGCAGACATGGCAGAAAGACATTTATTTTCGATGTAGACAGAAAGTGTTTAATTTTTAGATGTACATCTAAATGGAAAACAATGAAATAAGCAGCCCTGTAAAGAAGTTAGCTCTTTGTCACTGGAAACGAGCCAATGATCATTTACTGTGTTCATGGAGTGAAAAAATTAACTTTGTCAAAGTGTCCAGTCTGCCAAAAGCAACTAATAGATTGAATGCAGTCATTAAAATACCAATGACGTATTTCACAGATATAGAACAAACATTTCAAAAATTACATGGAACCAAATATGACCCCAAATACTGCAGCAATTTTGACGAAGATGAGCAAAGTAGGGAGGATCACAATGCCTGATATCAAAGTATATTACAAGGCCACCATAGACAAAACAGTCTGGTACTCAAATAACAAAAGACACATAGACCAATGGAACAGACTACAAGGCCCAGAATAAACCCATGTCTCTGTGGTAAAATAATATACAGCAAAGGGGGCAGAAACATAAAAAGGAGTAAAAATAGCCTCTTCAACAAATGATGTTGGAAGATCTGGGCAGCTACAAGCAAAAAAATGAAACTAGACCACCAACTTACACCATACACAAAAATAAACTCAAGATAGATAAATGACGTAAATATAAGTCGTAACACAATAAAAATCCTAGGGGAGAATATAGGCAGGAAAATATCAGATATTCCATGGAGCAATATTTTCAGCAATATGTCCTCTAGGACAAGGGACATAAAGGAAAGAATAAACAAATGGGACCTCAACAAAATAGAAAGAAAGCTTCTGCACATGTGAAGAGAAACATCAGCAAAATGAAAAGGGAACCAACTGTATGGGAAATTATATTTGCCAATGATAACTCAGACAAGTGTTTGATCTCCAAAATATATAAACAACTCACAGGACTCCACTCCAGGAAGACAAACAACCCAATTAAAAAATGGGAAAAGACCTGAAGAGACACTTCTCCAAGGAGGACACACAGAGGGCCCAAAGGCATATGAAAAGATGTTCAGCATCACTAGCCATCAGACTGATGCAAGTTAAAACCACAATGAGATACCTCTTTACAACAGTCACAATGGCCATCATAAACAAAGCAACAAACAACAAGTGCTGATGAAGATGTGGAGAAAAGGGAACCCTAATGCACTGTTGGTGGGAATGCAGACTGGTGCAGCCACTGTGGAATTTCCTTGAGAAAACTAAAATGGACCTGACTTTTGACCCTGCCATCCCACTGCTGGATTACACCCTAAGGATCACGAAATACCAATTCAAAAGAACCTATGCACACCAATGTTCATAGCAGCACAATTTACACTAGCCAAGTGCTCGAAGCAACCTAAATGCCCATCAGCAAATGGGTCAATCAAAAAACTGAGGTACATTTACACAATGGGCTACTATGCAGTGCAAAGGAAGAAGGAGCTCTTACCCTCACAACAGCATAGATGGAACTGGAGAGCATTATGCTAAGTGAAATAAGGCAGGCAATGAGAGGCAAATACTATATGATCTCACCTATAAGTGGAACCTAATCAACAAAACAAACAAACACACAAACAAGAAAAATATAACCAGGGATATTGAAATAAAGAACAAACTGACAGTCACCAGAGGGGGAGGGGGGGGGGGGGGATAACGGGAGAAAGA